CATTATTAACTCTACCTATCTTTGTAGAGCTTGGAAAAAGCATGTCTCAAGACAGCTAAGAATATCAGTTCGTCAGATTGATGTGAATGAAGCGAACGCCAAGGGTTTATGCTACAGCAACTCACATACCATTGAAAACCATTCATATTCACAAATACAGAAAGGAGATGTAAACCACAATTCTTCAAAGGAACAAAGCAAACTCCCACTACGACCTAGCGAAGACACGCATTGATTTCCTGCCAGTGACATTTAGAGAGGCTTGATGATAGGTTGCATTACTGTAGTTACGTTGGCATCATATTCCCCTAATGATAGCTTTCAAATAGAGTTAGGAACTGGTCATTATTTACGGCGGGGATGGCACCGAATAGAAAAGGGTTGGGTAAACAAAATTTTGAGCGAGTTAAGGCCATGGTGCAATTTTTTTTTGCAACTTGCAATGCAATTCTACTCTTGAGAGATGTTAATTAGCGAAATCTGTGAAGAATTTTCGATATGTTGAGAAAACATCAGCGGAGTGTAATGAAGACTCGTATTTGGTAATTTTACATCTCTCAAGAGCAGAATTACATTGCAAGTTGCAAGAAAAATTGCACCGTGTAACATGGCCTTTAAAGGTTGGGTAAATGAAAAACAAAACAACTCAAGGGTTGGGTAATAAAAATTTATTGTCATTTCCAAAGCATGACTCACTCAAATATCGAAGACTAAAAAGCAATGTCAACAGTCATATATCAACACAATATGTAAATCAATCGGAGCCACCATCTTCATTTTCCGATTTGTCAAGAGGCAAATGGTGTCTCCAAAGAAAGCACATGTTCAGAGTACAAACAGCATAGACTGCAGAAAATTGCGCAAGCAGTTATCAAACTCATATCACAGAAGTGGTAAAGGACATGTGTGACAACTGAATGGTATCCTGCTGTAATGTTTTTGGCCAGGGGTGGCTATTCAATTTTTAAATTGATATTTGAGGTTGGGTAAAAAAATATTCGACTTTGGTTGGATCAGCCAAATTTTTACCAAGAAAAACATTTCTCTTCGGTGCCAATCCTTGCCATGGATAATGACAGGTGGCTTATTAGTTATTAGGCTAGCTTTGGGCAGGGAGTTTTTTTGCCTATCGCTGTTGTGGTCAATTGAACTGAATGTATTTACAGTAAAATCCCATGTTTAAATGTGGACATAAATAAAAACATTAAAACAAGAAATAAAAAAAACTAAAAATAAAAATATACAACCAGAGTTCCAGCTTCAGCCATTATATTTATCCTTTTTTATCCAATCTTCATCCTATCTTTCTTATCCATTACCATCACCAGTCTACCCCCAGCCGCCACTGACCTCAAAATTAGTACTGGGTGGTGCATCCGCCGATGTGGTTTTAATTTTTGCCGCAAAATTTTTTCTTTTAAGGTGGCTCAAAAGAGTTTTTTAAAAAAATGGAAAATTCACGAGTTAGATGCGTATTTTTGGACAAGTATTACTTGTTGATAAACAAAAAGTACCTTACTTATATAAAACAACATCTAAAGAGTTTGAATTTTAATACAAAAGTTACGAAACTGCCGTTGCTATGGCAATAATGACGTTTCAAGATGGCGGATATTTTGGCTTGATTTAACTTGTAAACGACATCGGTGACCCCCAAATTTTATTTTAAAAAAATGATTTCCCTTAGTATGTTGAATTACGTTGACAATTTAAAAAAACTTCTGTGGGGCCGAAATTTTTTAAATTACGTAAAGGTGATTATTATTCATAATAATTTTTGGGGGGCTCCACAGAATTTTTTTTAAATTGTCAAAAGAATTGATTATTCTAAGAGAAATCATTTTTTAAAATAAAATTTGGGGGTCACCGATGTCGTTTACGAGTTAAATTACTTTAAAACCAAAATATCCACCATCTTGAAACGTCATTGTTGCCATATCAACGACAGTTGCGTAACTTTTGTGCAAAAATTCTAATTCTTTACATGTTGTTTTATATAAGTAAGGTACTTTTTGTTTATCAACAAGTAATAATTGTCCAAAAATACGCATCTAAATCGTGAATTTTCCATTGTTTTATGTATTGAGCCACCTTAAATATTTATCAAGATGTGAAATATTCTGCGTTATCACAAAATGCTATTATTCCGAGTATACTTCATAAAATATATGAATCATAGTTAAAAATTTTGAGTAAAAATCTTGAAATTCCTAGACATTAAAAGGCTGACTTAAAAAGTCAGTCCAGTTCTAGTTTTGAGATCAGCGAGATCGTCGGAAGACACCGATCACAACTCTTCACTCGGAGGAGAATCGGGTCCTTCCTCGTCGTGCTTCGTGAAATAGTCCAGTTTCTCCTTGGGATCAGGTACAATAGTATCTGCCCCAGGCTTCCAGCCAGCGGGACACACCTCGCCGTGCTTATCCGTATATTGGAACGCCTGGACCAACCGCAACGTCTCGTCGACTGAACGACCGACCTGATGACGCAAAAATATGCTTTAAAATGCTTTCAAAACTAAAATAGTATAATCATAACAATAATAATATAGAAAACACATTCTGAAAGAATGAAGATATGGATAAAAAGTAAGACAAATTGTATAATGGTAATGTATAATTGTATAATGGTAAGATGAAGTTAAATGAGGTTACATAGTAACCAAGATTAATGTCATAGGATTCCCGCATAGTCTGGGCATGACTTATGCCCAAAGAGTATAGGATATAGAGAGCGCGAAGCAGACTCGCAGGCATTAGCTAACTCATAACCAATTGGAGTAGAACTCTGCTTAGAGACGAAGCTAAATTTTGAAGCCAACGGCTGACTTTTGGTTTTTATGTCATTTGCGCCGAAAATTTAGTTTGGTGTGGTTCAAGTCCTGAATGGATATGTTCACGTGATTCTGACCTGAATCGAAGTACACCCCAAATCCCTAAATAGCAATAGCTGACCACGTCTGCACCTAACCATCCACACGGGTAAGTATGGTAACGACATATATTAAATATACGGTGCGACATATGTAACTGTCAGGATAGGATTTGTAAAATTGTGGACATAATCGAGAGTGATAACAGAGTTTGTGCAGAAGAAACAAGAATAAATGGTAAAATATGAAGAATCGTAAGGATGGGGGATGTAGGAAGCACTGGGAACAGTTACTAAAAAGATCCCAACACGGGTAAAGAAAAGATTGGTTTTGAAGTCAGAACAACTACAAACGACCACTCTGTTAGAGATATCAACACCGTATAACATCGAATTGGAGAGCAAATTCTAGGATACTGTTGCTACTTTTTATTGCCAATTTCCTTCTGTTTCTGCATAGTTACGCTTGCGTAGAACAAATAAAATGCATTTCGTGTGAACGTAACGCCACTGGTAATAGGTGGTATCAAAACATCAGATATAATAGGTGGTATCATCAGGTAATAGGTGGTATCAAACATCACTGAATGAGAGCGATGCTGGATAGATTCTCAGAAAATAAACTATTTAAATGGACGGTGAAATTATTTCGGTTAATGCTCGTCAACTGTTTCTCTGTAGCTGAGTTGGTTAGAGCGCTGCACCAGAATCGCAGGGCCGTAGGTTCGATTCCTGCCTTAAATAACTCTAGACATGATTTTCGGAGTTGGCCATGCAGTAACTTTAGACGTTTACAAAGAGTACTGTCATTCAACTAAGTGTGTTTTTTTTTAAATTTAGAGTTAACCTCTTCAGTATAGCAGGTAGCGATATAGCAGCTAATATAAGATATATTTCATCAGTAAAAATCTTGTCATACAGCTACTGTATACAGTATTAGGGATGTCATTAAAATCATCCTGGTATAAGTGATCTTATCATATTATATATACTGTACTGTATGATTATGTTCATGAAAAAATTATACAATTGAATCCTGCCTTCGAGTTTCAATCATCACGTGTACAGTACATGTACCCCAAGTATACACTCATATAATATTGTATACGGTATAGACTTTGTCAAATACTGCTAAACTTAGCTTAGAATGACTTGTGAATATAAGATATCAGGTATATGCTCAAAGAATCCATTTCCTGAATCCAAACAAGTTGATACAAACATTTTCGATGATTCATTGAATGCAAACTTACTTTTTTCTTTTATATACTATTTTAGACTATTATTCAACTACAAAATTCATTTACAGTAAATCTTTGTTTAGCACATGGGTCATATGAGCAAACTTGCCCCATTTTTTTAAAATAGTACATAATTGTCTTTAAAATGTAAGAAGGTGATTGTTCTATTATTTGCCAGCAAAACTGGAAATGAACCCTATAGTCATAAATATCAATATAATGCTTGTTTACATCCAATTCCGAACAATTTGATGTGCCTAATTACAGTACAGTGATGAGTTACAGACTACAGTAACTCTCGTAGCATTTCAATCAGTCATCCGATACGACTTTCTACGATTACACGAAATTTCCGTGTAATAGAAAGCCTTGAATAGATTAAGTGCCAAAGAGAGCTGCTTTGCATATTTGCAAAATATTAAGATTTTGTGCAGTAGAATATTCGATTGTATGTCAGTTTCAATTGTGGCCAGATTTTTTTCCGAACTAAGGCAGAATAAAGTAACGTACACGCGCAAAAAAACAAATCAAATTAACTCTACACTTACTGGTAAATCATTCATTGTAATCTGCCTGAGAACTCCTTTGTCATCTATGATAAACAGCCCTCTGAAAAATAATACAAATTACAAAATAAAAGTTTCGGTAAATGTGTGGTATTTATTTCCGTGCAGAGAGTTTTGTGCAATTAAACAGTCATTGCTGTCTAGTGACTGTACTCCACTATTGCTATGCGCCATATAAATTAAGGCAGCTCTAGGATCATCTGCAAGGAGGGGTGCAGGTTTTCCATGGGGTGGTGCATGAGGGAGCCTTACTTCCCACTCTCCTCTGCAGTCTGCAACGCTACTATCCCAACACTACTATTATTTGAGATGGTTGAATCTGCATGTTCGCCATTCTGTTACGTTTTAGATTATCTTATGTTTATAAAGTTTATATCGTTTTTTATCACATAGGCATGACTGGACAGCTGCTGTAGCACAGTACAGTAAATTTGCTTGTTCAAGTACTGTACAGTACAGTACAGTATATTTGAAAATATGGCTGTACAATATAACACCCTCAACAGTTTATTACATATTTAACCATGATATTTAACGATTAAATCATTCTGAGTGTTTTCTTGTGAGCTCACAATTCAATTACATCGTTCCAAGAAATCGAAACGTGCCAACAGTAGACGTTCCGCTAATCATTATTCAATAAGCAGAAAATGTATGATGAAGCATGATTTTTTTAGGGCGGTGCTGGACTTCTCTGGGGATCTCTGTCTAGATCTGCCCCTGATATAAATTATGGCAGTTTAGATTGTAGGGCACATGTACCTCAAAGTGTGTCCTTCATTTTCCAACAAAACTCCGTAATCTTTGGCAATTTGATGGTTCAAATCAGAAAGCAGAGGGTAAGATAGTTTGCCAAGGCCACCATCTTTTCTTGGTGTGTTTATCCTATATAAGGTTGCCAAAAAAAAATACAAAAGAAAGTTGATTACCATAAATGATCTAATGTACAGTAAGTACTCTCCATTGAACTATAAATAAACTGGAAGGCTAACTGCTATGATGAAGGCCTATGATTTGATGAAGCCAAAATAGTTTTTCTGAGTTATGAGCAGAAATACTTGACCCCAAACGTCGGGCTATATATCAAATTGAAGCTATTGAAAATTGCTATTAGGTGTGGAAATTTCAAGACTTCAGCGAAAAGAAAAATCTTTAAAAAATACAAAAACAACTGCAAAACGGCAAATTTTCGGTAATTATGTTTGTAATTTTTCAATATTTCCCTTTTAGCTAAAGTCTTGAAATTTCTACACCAAATAGAGTTTTTCAATAGCTTCAATTTGATATATAGCCCAACGTTCAGTGTTGAGTATTTCTGCTCATAACTCAGAAAAACTAAAATGCACTGGCTTCAATTTCCCCCCCTGAGTTAGCCTTCCAGTTTATTTATAGTTCAATGGTACTCTCTAATAAATGCCTATATGTAAGGCTAGTAGAGACTCCACCATAACCTACCATGCCAAATGCGTGAAGACAGAATCCACCGAGCAAGCGACAACTTCAGTGTTAATTTTACGGAATTCTTCTATTCTGTTGCTGAAAGCGATGATTTCTGTGGGGCATACAAATGTGCTACAATAAAATAAGTAATACAGTATACTTGTTTGTTCACTGGACAGAAAAGTCACAATTAATTGTCACATGCACAATATGCTGTCACATACACAAAATTGTTTGAAAATGTTACTTTTGCCGTAACAATTTGAGCATTTGAGTTTTTAAACAGAGCAAGTTGAAAACGGAGCACTTGGCTGGAAAATGGCGGCTTCTTGTGAAGACAAATGCCATGTACCACTTGCAAGTTTTTTTCAGGATTTTCTCTTGGGTCCGTTTTTGCAGAGAAGGTTGAGTTTAGCTGAACAGCTGGGGGTCTGGGGTAGCTGCGGGAGGCTGACACCTGTACCCAATAAGTGTAGTTGAGATGCAATGTGTTAAAGCAGACACCATAAACTGGTGAAAGATAGCGAATGCGTTGTTTTTCTTGTGTTGTGAAATGAATTCCAGCCATTTTTTTCTTGATTGTCGGGTTTCCAACTGAAAACTAATTTGCACACGTCACAAATTTAACTCAAACAACTTCATTTTGACAGCACTGAATCTTTTGGTGAGAAGATTGAGTTTCAAAACTCAATTCAAGATTGAATTTTTGGGGCCGTTTTTCGGGCCTAAAAAATCCCTGGAAAACTCCCTGCACTTGCAAACAAGCATCTCAGGGCCCAAGACAGTAAATTGAAATGCTTTTTGTTGCTCTATTTGAAATATTTTGGGTTTACATGAGTGCTAATTTAATTTGTAAACAACTGAAACGGCATAGAGTGAACACACCAGCATTATTTCACTCTGGTGTAGTGTGAATGCAGTCTAAAGCATATTTCAAATTTTACTTACAAATCCATTGGGTAAAAGAAAAACACCAGATATTTTCCTGAAATAAATTTTGAAACATATCATTATGTAGTATTGAAAAAAACATACAATTTGAATGTTTTGGTAAAGAATTCAACTCAGTACAGTACATGTAATGTAATACATATGTATATAATAGGCTTTACAACATAAATTTGAAATAAAAACATGTTTTTACCATAGTAAATTTTGGACTACTGTAGTAGACAAAACCTACTTACCACGAAAATCTGTTATATTCAATGATTTGAATTCCCCATTGACGACTGCTGTTCCTTCCCAATATGGAGCACGTTTTCCAACTAAAGTACATTTTTTTTTCTATTTAAAGACAGCGTGTGTAATTTGGGACATAACTACTTTTAGACTGATCCGATATTGAATAAAATCGATATGTAACTGTATATTGATATTGAAAAAAAATATTGATAATATCAACTACAGTATATCGAATTATGCAAATTAGAACATTATATACTACAGTACTAGTAGTTCAGTCAACTTGCAATGCATGTACAGTATACCGCATAAAAAATACAAAAAACAAAGTTCAATGAAATATTCATTGATTCGACATATTGTCTAGACTTTTCTTTGCAACAGAACAGTGAGTTTGAATGAGCTGTGATATTTTTATACTTCGTTTTTAACCTTTGCCAATACGCACCATTAAGATTATTATTCCAAGGACTTAGTGCAGATTCCATTGTTATGAGTTATAACACAGTTATCGTTTTCAAGCGCTCGACTACCGCTTGTGTGGGTGGTGATCTTCTGTGACCACACTTACTCTATTTACACTTTTCAATTGGCCACACGCTTGCTACTTGTATTTCGTAATTAGCCTATCTTACGGCCGATTTTTCCGCCATCCTGGGGGTACTGCCTCTGAGCCTCCCCCACGTTTGAGAGTCTCCGCACCACGAAATACAACTTTTTAGTATTGTAGTTGTTTGTATAATGGTACATTTACAGTTACAGCTTTTAAAAGTCACTTTTCACGTTTTTTGAATTGTCTAGAATCTTTCATGAGGGCGGACAGTACCCCAAAAATGGCGGATTTGGGCCTTCGTGAGAATTAAGGCTAATTGCTGTCACACATGTGATTTCTAAACTTTTCTGGACAATAATTGCTGAAAAAAAGTTGATTCAGTTGTCCAGTTAAAATTTTCCATATTTTCAACATGCGAAAAATTTGAATATCAAAATTTTTGAAAAATCGATATTTTATATAAAAAATATCAATATATCGCATTAATTAGCTTAAGAATGTTGGTTAACCATTAATACCAGCAGTTTCCCCATGAGTAATACTATTTGGCATAAAAAGACGAAGAGAACAAAGTGGGACACATGAGGGTGAATTGCTGCTCACAAGGTGTTAATAAATGTGGTTAGCGCACTTGGCGAAGTGGTTAGCGCACTTGCCTTTCACCTCTAAGGCCGCAGGTTCGAATCTCAGTGAGAACTTCTCAATGTGACTCGAACCCAGTCCTCATGTGAAAAAGAGTAAAAGTCAACGCTCTGCCGAAAGTCGTGGGTTTTCTCCGGGTACTCCGTGTTTCCTCCCACAGGGAAAGTTGACAGGGTGGGTTAGGCACATAAGGTCTGGAGGCAGATCATTAATGAGGTATGGACTAATAGCGGCTGCTCAAGCGCCATTTGTAAGCTTAAAGGCTACCTCGGTCTGCTTCAAGTCAGTCCGGTTCAATCTATCTATTCATAATGTAACCAGTCACTGAAAAGCCCTGATAGGGAGTGTGCTGTGAAATATCTGTATCTGTATCTGTATAAATTCAATGAATAAACAAGGCCAATATTAATATATCTCAATTTTACTGCAATTGCAACAAACCCATTCTACATTTGATGCCACACAAATTTTATAACAAAACTACAACTATTACAGCAAAAACGGAGTCACAAATACCCCAAAATAACAATATTCAAAGTTCGTGCCATGCCGCAATTTGCATTTTTAAATACACGTGTAACTACTGAACGGAGACACAACAAACAAAAGCCTTTTGAAACCCACGAATTTAACATGAAATTACTTCGTCATTACGAGTAAAAATGACCTAAACACAAAGACCCCTTGTACAAATTACCCTGGCCTTCAAAATAATTGTCTTTAGTAACTAATGGTAGAATTAAAGGCGATGTTTTTATCTTACTTTGTGCCTTACTCCAATGCAAAGCGTGTTCGCTTGTCTTCCGTTCCTGAGGATACACTTGACCGCCGGCGTACATACGACAGGACTCTTCGTCGTCCACTTTATTGGCAAAGGAAAACGATAGACATAACATAAACACGCCAAGGAAGAGCAATAAGCTCGAATTTGACAAAAAGAAACGCATTTTTATTGCCAAACTCGCTTTGTGCCTGAAGCTTCTGAAGACCGCGAAAATGCAAATTTTGAAAATTAAAATTCACACGAGAGCCTGCAGAACAATGACGTGTCATAACCTGCGTACTTCATGTAGTTATAATATCATGGTGTGGTTATGGTAAGGTTTTGATGGTATCGAACCACCGATCTGTACAGATCTGCGGGTAGAAATTAGAATCCAAGAATTTAGCGCTAATCTAGCTTTGAACAAGCGGGATTATTAGAAATTTTATCACTGAACACAAAAAAAAACCCATAAAATAGAAGGAGCGCTGAGTACAGTCCTCTAGATTGTAAGTTATCCAGTGCTGTACTGGGAATTTCAAAACAGGAAAATTTACGAATTGAGTGTAAATGGCAAGGGTGGGTTGACTACCAAATTTTTGTAGTTCGCTATAACTACAGCTACTTCAAAAATATGTAGTCCGCTACAACTACTACTACTTTTGAACAAAGGTAGTTCGCTACTGACTACAGCTACTGCTTAAAAAATGTAGCGAACTATTTCGCTATTTCGCTACACTATATTTTTTTAAATTTTTCTATATTTGGAGCATCTACTAAGTACTAACTCAAGCTGTGATGTAATCTATAACTACAGGAGTGCAAATTGACTGTTGAGTATTGATTTTAAGCAAACCGTGTCTCAATATCATGCTATTCTATCAAATTGCTAACAATTTTAAAAAGTAGCGAATAGCGATTCGCTGTTTGAAAAGTAGTCAACTACTTGGCTACTTTTAGGCAAAATGTAGTTCGCTATAACTACAACTACTGTTTTAAAAAAGTAGTCAAAAACTACTGGCTACTTGAAAATTGTAGTTCGCTACAGTAGCGAACTACAACTACTTCGCTACTACCCACCCTTGGTAAATGGGAACCTAAGGGACCGGTCATTATTTATGGTGGTGGGTGGCACCGAAGAGAAATGTTTTTCGTGGCAAAAAGTTTGCTTACCCAACCATTAAAAAGACAAAAAATTGATTACCCAACCTCAAATATAAATTGAAAAATAATTACCCACCCCTGGCCAAAAACGTTACAAAAAGATACCATTCAGTTGTCACACATGTCCTTTACCACTTCTGTGACATGAGTTTGATAACGGCTTGTGAAATTTTCTGCAGTCTAAAGTTTCATGTTGTCTGCACATGCACTTTCTTTGGAAACACTATTTGTTTTGTCAAAATGACCAAGATAGTGACTCTGATTGATTCACGTATTGTATTGACAAATGACTGTTGACATTGTTTTTCAGTCTCCAATATTTCAGTGAGTCATGCTTTGGAAATGACAATAAATTTTTCATACCCAACCCTTGAGTTGTTTTGTTTATCATTTACCCAACCTTTTACTCACTCAAAATTTTGATTACCCAACTTTATTTTTTCTCTTCGGTGCCACCCCCCGCCATAAATAATGACCCGTCCCTAAGAAAAGGAACCTAAATGGGTGATGGGGAATTGCAAAAGGCAAAACTTTTCCGCCGGGGTGTCCTATAAGGGGTCCTCATCCAGAAAATCTTCGTACTTTTTAGCCACCAGAGGTTGATTTCTTGCATTTTCAGACACAATTTTTCATACATTCCATCTCGGAAAGATTGAATATTTATAGGCCATATAAAATTCGATATAAAATTTGAAACTGATTAAGTGAAAACCAGCATAACTTATTGTCTTCTTTGTGCTTTTGAACAATTTAAACTAGAGGTGTGCATCGGATCGGATTGGACGTTTGTTATCCGACAATTGCCTAATGTTTAAAATCCGATCCGATCCGAAATTGTCGAATCCGAATCCGATCCGAGTTTTGATAAAGAATTCCAATCCGATCCGATCCGAAGAATTCTTTAATAAAATAAATTTCTCATTCAAGTTGAAATATTTAACCAAATAAATATCAAAGCAAGAAATACATGTCAAGAAGCTGACAAAGTTACGTCCAATTGAAGTATTAAAGGTGATCTACAGTCCGTATGTAAACAAAGCCTTTGTTTACATTTCTGTGTCCAAAATATCGAGCTTTATTCGACAACTATTTATATTTTCAAGCTTCTAGAGTATAATAAATGATCAAGAAACAACAATCAGGCTTTTCAAGAACTCAAAACATAGTTAAACTGTTTGTATCATAAAAAGTGGGCTCATTTGTGCACATGCGCAGATCGGACTGTAGATCACCTTTAAATGAATAATGCAGCGACAACTGCGATAATGCTTTGATAAATGCATGGATAATTAATTCTTGCGATAATGCGTGGATAATTAATTTATTTCATTTCGGATATCGAAGTCCGATCCGAACCGACTACAAAACAACTTTATCAATCCGATCCGATATGAATATTTTGGTTCCGAAATCCGGACGAATCCGATCGGATCGGTTTCGGATCGGATTTGCACACCTCTAATTTAAAGGTGATCTACAGTCCGTATGTAAACAAAGCCTTTGTTTACATTTTTGTGTCCAAAATATTGAGCTTTATTCGACAACTATTTATATTTTCAAGCTTCTAGAGTATAATAAATGATCAAGAAACAACAATCAGGCTTTTCAAGAACTCAAAACATAGTTAAACTGTTTGTATCATAAAAAGTGGGCTCATTTGTGCACATGCGCAGATCGGACTGTAGATCACCTTTAAACATAATTTGTAATTATGTACTTCGTGTCATCTCCCAGATTAAATTTTCGATATGCATGACCACTAATAATTCAATGCGTAAAAATGTGGAACATACCTATTGCATTTTTTTTCGAGACACCCTCTGTATATAGTTGCATTTTTCGCAGCTGCTCCCAGTTAGGTAAAAATGCCTAAAATTTATAGAATTTACACTTGAAACTTCTGTCTCTGAAAATATCTTCAACATTCATCTGTCACTTTACTGAACGAAATTAGTAGTAGAGTTAGCGGGGGTTCGAGTTAACGGGGGGAGGTGGTGGTGTTGAATTTCGTTTATTATGGAACTTACAAAATTTGTACTACTAAAATACAAAACAATAGATACTCCGAAAATTGAAAGCATTTTGAAGTTTATTTCGACGTTTCGACTAAACTATAGTCATCATCAGGAAATGAATGAATTTCAAAATGCTTTCAATTTTCGGAGTATCTATTGTTTTGTATTTTATCGAAATACTCAGTCGTTCCCGTAATTTGTACTACTATTACCGAAGCTATAAACAGTCCCTATCACAGTTAACAGTACGGCACCTACCAAACAGTGCCTACAGTATACTGGGCATCAATTACATTCATATAATACAAGACTTGCGTCGGGACTTTGTTTATCATTACCTAAACTCAGGACAAATTTTGGGTTATTTAACATTAGATATCGGGGTGTCAAGGTGTGGAATGCACTCAGCGATTTTGACAAAAGATTATCATTCACTCAGCTCAAACGAAAACTTGTAGCTAATTTTGTTGATTCGTACTAACTTTTTTTAAAAAAAAATTCAGAAAGTAGTTTTTTATATAATTTCTTTCTTTTTTCTTTTTGGTTCTTAATATCTTACTGCATTATTAATTCCTTTTATTATTATTCGGTATCTTTGGCCTCCAGCTCTGATTAGCCTATTGGTTATTTTGGAGAGCCGGCTTCACTCTATTTATAATTTTAAGACTTATAAGTAACTAATGAATGATCAAGTTGTAAAATTGTAGTGAAGCAATAAAACTTCTTCTAAATATTCTATATTCCATAAGCTAGATGAGTAATGATTGAACGCAACTTGTTGAACCTTTTGATCTCTTTGTCGACTTGTATTGTTTATTTAATAAACAAACGTAATACAAGTCGACAACTTAGATTGCCATTGTCCGAATAGAAATCCACATCTCAAAATACAGTTCGAGTTATACCCAGGTAAATTTGATCAAGGGAAAATGAGATTTGTTCGAGTTAGCGAGGAGTTCTGTAAATGCAAAAGTTCGGGCCAAGATGAGTTTATAGGGAGTCACCCTCCCCATCGAAACTTTTAGGTCTAATGGTCCGGACACAAAAGACGCGATTCGACAACGCGACGCCATTTCTAGATTTTCACTGACCGATAACTTTGATTCTAGTTTAAATTTTCCAAATATTTAGAAGCGGTATAACATATTGAGTTATTTGGTCTACATATCTGCCAAAATTTGCTCTCATTGACTGTTTTATTAACTTTCAAAAACTAAAAAATCGCGTCACGTTGTCGAATCGCGTCCGGTGTGTCTGACCTTAACAATCACCAGAGACCGTTCCTGGAACGCTCATTTAAATGAAATATAAAGAGGGCTTCGAAAAGAATCTACTGCCTTATACAAATGAAGAGGGCAAATGTTGCATGATGATGTGATGATCTTAAAACATTTAATGTTGCATGTCGCCGGTTCCATGGTTCACTACGTAATTACCTTATCGAAGATACGGAAAGAATTCAAAAACGAGTTATTTCAATCATCCTTCCTACTGTAATCTTGAGTACAAAAGCACTTGAAATGGAACGTATCGAAACCCATCATGAAAATATTTGCAAGTCATTGTTTGATTCTATTACAAAAGACAGCACGCACAAACTGCATGGCTTATTGCCTCCTCCTAATGAATTAAAGTACAATTTAATTTTAGACATAACCGCAAGTTCATGTTTATACCAAGGATTAATTAATACCAATCGTTGTAAAAATAGTTTTATAATATCCGGCAGCCGAAAAGCAAACGGATATTCTTAATTTCTTAGAGGAATACGTAATTCAGCTTTTCTGAAATAAATCATCGTAAATAAATCATAACCCTCTCGAAATAAAGTCCTTATCTTATCTCACAAGTTTCTGTGAACATCAACGTTATACAGTTCTTGGTAATGTCGAAAATGTAAAACACTTCAAATTTGTACAGGTGCCGCTGTAATCGTCGGATATCTATTGATTCATATCAATGCATCCCATCGCAAATGTCAACAATACAAGATCAAATTTCATTTGACAAAAACACGCGTCTCCCCGAATAAATATTTAGTTTACACTGGCTTACGAAAGAGAAAAGGTCGAACAATTTAACATTAATTTGTTAAGCGATTTTAAACGCTCCTTAATCGGACTATACACTCATTAGAGTGGCTGCTTTTTGGCACGCACTTTTGGTATATGAACTAGTTTTTGACTTCCGTATTTTGAACAAAATCTATGAATATAAGTCATTGATAGAAGAACGACGCGATAAACACTTGGAAATTGAAAGTTCGCTCATTTTGAGTGAATAGACGAAGGCAAAATGAAACAACGTGAAAACGCGCGGTCAAAGGCGAGCTCGAGTAGTCAAGAACGACTCATTGCACGCGAAACATTTCAATATGTGACTACCAATCCGAGGAAATTCGGTGTCGCAAGCACACGCAACGAACGGCAACTCGCAAAGGCAATGGATACACTTCACATGCAACAGAATAAACGACTCGCGAAACTTAGCTCGGAAATTCACGAGGTCAAGGTCCACCAATGGAAACTTAAAGAGGCAGATGAAACGATTCGGGACCCGAAAACTTTGGAGGACAAACTTCTACGTAAGTAAAACGAAATTCTGTTTGTGACTGTAAAAGACTATATACACAACGTTTGCCTAAAACTGTAAACTGTCGCATGCAACCTGTGCTGTGTATAAAATCAAGCACACAACTCATCTACCAAAACGTGGGCGATTGTGTGCTTGATTTACACAGTGTAACTCAAGTTATGAACAGGTTGCTTACAACAGTTTTAGGAAGAAGTGTGAATTGACACTAAGACGTCAGTTCCTCAAACATTTCTTACAAATCCTTCAAAACTTAGTCTTAGAATTTAACTATACAAAAAATAACTACTATGATCACAGAAACTTTGATAGTGTAAACCAGTCTTTAAAAACACTCTTAAAGTACGAGAAAAAATTTCTAATAATACTATCTTTATTATTAGGTCCCACAGCCGAGGAAGTAATTGATGAGACGGAGCCCAAGAACCGAGGCGCTGTCATGACACGCGGCCGAACTGGGATTAAGCATTCAAAGAGTCCACGTACTCGAAATGATGAGGGTATGGACCGCGTAAGTTTAAGGAAAAACAGACCCTTGACATCCGGAGATATTTCAGCGAAGACCAGGTCCTCACGTTTGAAAGCCAACAGTAATGGCAGAATTTTCAAATACGACAGAATAAACGGGCAGACAAAAGCAGAGTGTTTATACAAGGCTACGAATGGACGAAACCGACAGCCTTCAACGCCACAGGAAGTACCGGTTGACTATGCTTTAAAAGATATGCCGATAAAAAGAGACCCACACAAGTATAAATCCTATAACTTAATAAATGCTCAAAAATTTACGGGGAAACGGGGAAATTCGCCGCGAGATAGCACAAATCACACAAAAGAACCTCGAAATGAACTTCAAGGTATAAATGATAGCCGTGAGAAAAATTCAGTGAATAAGAACCACCACATTGGTAAAATAAACACAAAGCCGGATGCACGACCGCGTTCCGGACATGTTCCGAAAATTTCCGAAACTCATCAGATAAATTACAGTCATCGAGTGGCAATGCCGAAGGGTTTACCCACGCATATGACGTACAAAGAGGCGAAAGGCCCCATCGTACATTTCCACAAAGACAGTGCTGTTAATCACGAGGAGGAAGCGGCTGTTTCCGATCAGGAAACGGGAGATCATGAAGAACGACCGAACGTAGTGGAAGAGAATTGGGCAGAAACACTAAAATCGTGTCGGTATTTGAGAAAACCGCGCGGTTACGAGACGCCCGAAATCCCGATTGAATCTATATTTCAAAATGATTGAAATCGATCGAACTTTAGTTAGACTGGATGATCAGTTCATACTAGACTGCATGGATAGTCTAGGGATGCATGAAAAGACAGACAAATGAAGCACATGAGCTTGCCGTACTTTACACTATCAAAGTTTCAGCAAAATAAGGATTTGTAAGAAATGTTTCAGGAAACTGACATAGTGCTAGACACTGAGTCAGTTTCCTCAAACATTACTTATAAAAAATCCTTCAATACTTAGAATTTACCTATGCAAAATTCCTACTGTGATCACAGAACCTTTGATATAGATTTGGATCAAGTCCGTCTCTCTAGAGTCCGAGGGAGATGCACCTCGCGCGCCGGACTCTAGAGAGGCGGATCCAAGTCTACCTTTGATAGTGCAAGCCATTTTCTCCGAGAAGTGTTTTTCCCATCGTTTAAATACTTTAATTGCAATGCTAATCACTTAAATACCTTCACGAATTAAATTCTGATACTATAACGGTCTCAGTCATGTCATATTGCATGCGATTAAGCATGATATATATTCACCCAGATATATGGCATATGCATTGCATATCTATGCTCTTGATGGGCTAAAGAGTAAAAAATTTTCACTGATAATGTCGACATTTAGCTACAGAATACAGAACAAAATTTCGTATTTGTTTTCTATTCATGTCGCCAGCGTGTATCTATACGTTTCGTAGCAGAGTAAATACATCGTATATCTGAATGTTCGAAGGGCTAAAGCATTTTCAGTATTTTCATTATACTGTCAATTTGGTACAATCACAGTTAATAGACTAAGAGGTACAATACAGGACAAGTTCACACCGCCAGACTTAATTGTCTTATAGTTGTACAGTCAGCGAGTATTCGTATACCTTCTTTGGGCAGCTTAATATTCCAGCAAGTTAAAAGTTTGTGAATGCGAGAAGCTTAGCATAAATTGCAAGAACCTCGGCAAGAACCTTGCATCAAGATTTCCTGGAAGAGAGTTATAGAAAGACTTTGGGAAGATTATTACATCCTTTAAGAACTATTGCCATTCAATAAACAAGATAAATTCTATCACGTCTTAAAGAATGGACCACTCCAACCCATTGGAAAAGCATAGAAAGCTAAACAGTGTTCTTGTTAGAAAGAATCAAGCCTTTCTTAAGAAAAGAGAAGTAGTTTTACCAAAACTTAACACTTCAGAAAGCGCCCCAGCGAGAATTGGAAATTTTATAAACAAGAAACCTAGTCAGGATTTTCCGGTTCTACCGTACAGGGAACAATTTTCCCGCCGAAAGCCTCCAGAGTTACTAACCCCTCTTTTTGGATATCGAGAAAGATTACCTACGCCATCACTCTCGTCGCCTAGTGACAGTGATTTCTATTCCTCAGATTATGACGATTCCCAATTTTCAGATATTACAGAATTTTCGGAAATAGATTCTGGATTCCTAGAAACTTTGAACAAAGAAGTAAGCAAACGGGTTATATCGGGCATGGTGTTGACCACCAAGTGCGGAGAAAAGGCTCAAGATATTTCGGAGAAAAATTTGGGAAAAAGAGTTGAGAAATTTCTTGGCCGGCCCGTGCCCGTCTCTGTGATTACTCCTCGACCACCACGGCCACCCAGACTGCTCACGCCATTGACGTCGCCACGGCAACAACGGGGAGATACTTGGTGTCTCAAGCAACAAAAGGTTTCGAAGGTTTTGAGTAACAGCCTAAGAGCTATGTATAATAAAAGCAGCGAATGCAAGTGTCGATACATACGGGCACCGCTAACCCCGATTCCTTCGACAGACTGGGTTTTTGAGAATTGTGGGAAGGTTGACAGAATCCTATCAGCAACAAACCGCTAGTTTTTTGGAATATCCACGTATTGTCCACTATTAATTCTTGCAAGCAAGACAAATAAAGTTAAATTAAAGCTAACAGATTAAAATAACATAATATGCAATAGGCCCTATAATATATGTTACGTAAGAACGTTTCTGATTGGCTGAAATGCGTGCTCGATTGAGCACGGCAAAAAAGCGCGGGAACTTTTCGCGCTCTTTTTCGGCGAACATTTCCTCAAGAATTTTCACAATTTTTTTCACTGTTTTAATCAATAAAATATAACTTGTTGAATACAAACACTCACTCATTTACTTTCAACAGATAGCTGACTTTATTTTAACCAGACTATATGTAAAAGCTAAAGTTTAAAGCTTACTCTGTTCTCGTGAATGAACTGTATTAAAAAGGCAAAGTCGAAGAGTTTTCTTGCCGTGTTTTATACGATAAATTTCGGTAAAAAAGTTTGACAAAAACACGCTTGCAAACAGTCAAAACTCATGAATTGGATCTTGGCTACATTAAAGTCATACAATCCCCAGGATAGCTAATATCAGTGCAAAACAAATGAAAAATTCAAACATGAATAATACAAAGACCTACAAACAGAGCCGAGATCACAACACAAAGAATTTATAGTTTTATACTCTATAACAACAAAACTGTCCATACGTGGCAAATATTGAAATAAATTCAAAATAAATACCTTAACTGTATGTTCCCCTTTTATCAAAATTCCAATAAATTTTGATTATTTTAAGCTTTTCGAAGCTCCACTCGCTGACTCGCATTCATTCGCATTTCATTGACGTGAGCAAAATTATTGACGTGAGGAAAATGTTCAGCCGATTTTTCAAGCGACCAATCAGAATTTGCTTGCGTTAGGAGAAATTGAAATTTCATCATTACGAAAGAACTTGTGCCTTAAAGAGAAGCTATCACCCCCCTGAAAACATCCTGAAATTTAATGTTCCAGGGGGTAAATGCCTCTCTTTAGGGTACTTGCTAAGAACATGGCCACCAGATACAGTATGTGCGGTAAAAACTACTTTATGGTTTTTACGGTTTTTTTGCGCCACTGTTTACAGCGGGATGACTCGTCAAACAGACGATGCGTTCTGAAGGATGCTCAGTCTGTGTAATAGATCGGATTAAATTAACATGAAACCCACATCATTAAAGTTTATATTTTAATTCGTATATTTGTCTTATATATTATCTTTTGTATATCAATTCTTAATTTCACTTGCCCGGTAAGGACATACGTACAGAAAGTGAAATTATATATATAATTCTTTTGAACACAGGACATACTTTCTAAACTATCTTGGCATTTACATTCTTCATTGAACATCAAGTAATTTGGTCAAGCCATTCAAGTAGAAAATATCACATCTAATACATGATACTTTGCTCGATCAAATTTGACATCAGTGACTAACTGTGGCAATTATATTTCTAACCATAGAGATGTATCATAGTTTCACTATACAAATACAATATGTTTTGACTGCCTTTTCAATTTCTAACTTGTTCTTGGGTGTCTAAGTTCTTGCGCCTAAAAATACAAGAAGACATGACGTCATCCCCCGAGCAAGATTGCAGATCCAAAATTCCATAAATCATGAAAGTTATAAAGGCCCATTTCCACTCAAGAAAATTTTCCGCGGAAAGAAAAATTTGTAAAATGTGATTGGCCGACACAATTTGTCCGTCGGAAAAAAATTTTGAAGTTGAAAATTTTCAACTTTTAACAATGACATTTTCGGAAAATTTTCTGTCCGTGGAAATTTTTCTTGAGTGGAAATGGGCCTTAATAGACCATTTCCTTCGTCGGAAATCACCCTCTCCCCATGCAGTCCCCCTTTCCCCATGCAGTCCCCCTTTCCCCATGCAGTTTCCCCCTCTCCCCATGCAGTCGCCCTATGCTTGACTCACCAGGGTATATTCGCTGTACTCCATTGTACTCTCTTCCACAGACTTCAGAGACGGTAAAATGTCTTTCGAGTAACATGCCTTTCTCTTGGCAATCCTTCTTGGATATATTATCCCTGTAGGCGACCCTCACTCTCTCCTGTTTACAAGGGCTTTCGACCACTGGTCGGCCCGTAACTGCTAAACTGATCGCTCCGACACAACCGTTCGGGACGTGATGCGGGAAACGTACTAGAAGTCTTGGTCTTGTGATCTTGATAACTTGGGTTAGGTAGACCACGTTACCGCAGCCATCCGAGGCCTGCCAGGTACGGTTGATTATCTGCGTGCAGTCTTGGTCAAGAACGCTGTCGCGGTATGTTAGGCGTAGCGCACCTTTGTAGTCGCACTCTGCCGAACTGATGGATTTAGGTCGTGGCACCAGTGCATCAACCTATATAATAATACGATAATCTGTCTGAACAGTCTGTAGCAGTGCTGGACACTGGAGGGAGGAGAGGGGCGATGTATGCCAAAAGGGCCTAAGTTATGCGAATCTTTCAGAACATGGGTAACTTGATAAAATGAATAAAAAGTCCTTAGAATCATTGGCATGCATTGTACAGAATCATATATTGCTTGCTACATTGCAAACTTAAGCTTACGTTTTATTTAATAGTCATTATTTAATTGATAATTACGTTGTGATTGCATGCACTGCATGTCTGAGTTTGAAATTATTCTCATTTGGGATTCAAATTGAAGTCCCTTGAGTAAATATGGCGCAACGCATGTGTAAGCATCAACTTTTCATAATTGAATGGCTAAAACACTTTACAACACTGGAAGCTTGCAGACTGGACTCACAAAAGAAAACTTATTGACATACCGTAAACCTCCGACGATAAGCCCTGGGCTTATATGTATACTTTCGTAAGCGATTTTTGATGGGCTTATACAAGGGTGGGCTTATATACAGGGGGGGGGGGGCTTGTACATGGACGATCTTTTGTGTTAGTAATAAACAAGTCAGACATAAACAAGTCAGTCATAAGTTAGAGTTATAAACCGAGAAGGAGGTTTATAACTGATATATTGCCCCCGAGGACGCGCAGCGTCCGAGGGCAATATATCAGTTATAAACCAACTTTCGAGGTTTATAACTAACTTATATCACATTTATGGAGGTTTTCTAACATATTTTGTCATTTTCAAAAATTTTTGATGAAAAATTCTCGCGTTTTGTCGAAAAGTTTGATGTAATTATTTATTCAAGGTATATTAGCTAGTTATAAACCTCGGACGATCAAAGAAAACCGACACAAATGTGATATAAACAGGAAAATAAACATGTATTAAGCAGCGATTACTGGGCTTATATTAATTCAGGGGGCTTATATTCTGGGGGCTTCATTCGGGGGAAAAACTATATTCGGGGGCTTATATATTTGGAATAGGGTGAGCGTTAGTACATGTGGTGAGGCTTATACATGGGGTATATTCGGGGGGTTATATTCGGGGGGGGGGGGCTTATAGTCGGAGGTTTACGGAATATCAGCTGTCAAAGCTTACCTCAAAGACGCAACTCTCATACTCATAGTAAGGATCAGCAAGTTCAATAGTGGGTGGGAATGTTGCTAAATCTTCATCAATACGTCCGTCACCATCGTCATCAATCCCGTTCTTCAATTCCTCATCTATCCTTCGATCACAATCATTATCCATTCCGTCTGCTGGGGTATCCACGCCTGTACACTCCCCTGTGATATCCGCGAGCCGCAACCCCCCTGGATAGCCGTAGGAGTCCCTCCAAGCAAACCCGTACATGAAAGCCCCAAAGGTCACAATAGGCGAAGTGTGATCTACCGTATGGGCACCTTTTGTCACCCTTACAGCCGATGCCGAGTACAGTGTTCCGGGTATCCGCCTAAAGGCGTTGGTGTGATGTGCAGGCTTTCCGTCAACCAACACACCTCGGAAATGTTCGCTGAGCACAATAACATTTATATAACTTTGGAAGTATTGCTGTGTTGGTCTGTCGGGGGTTGATAGGATATAGTGGGCTGCGTATTGTTCAATAGGGGGTATCATGATTAAGAATGGATCGGTGTCGGTGTCGTCGCTATCGGCTCCTTTACTGTACTGCAATAGCATGCAAGGTTTGGTTGCTGTTATAAACTTGTACTCGTTTGAAGGGATATCTCGCTCCATAAACTCGCCAGACGACAGGTACTCCTGATCGTTCGGATGAAATGTGACCAAGGTATCGTCCTTTGATGCGACAACTCGGAAAAAATCGCCGCTCTTGCGGCTGAACAGAGGAGCTGTGACAAACCTCCGTCCCCAAGTGCTTGTAGGTGTTAGCATTTCAACCAAATGGTCGCAGTAGCCTTTCTCCTGGGGGACATTAGCACACTCGTTGCCACTGTAAACTGATACAACTTGAGTAGAAGCGATTCGAGTCCCAGTTAGGTCTTCTGTGTGAGCAAGCTGGAACGTTTCTTGTCTATTAATTTCAATGATCATCGTATCACCATTTCTGTACACAGCTTGCTGATACACGAGCGGTACGTCTCTGCTCATTTTTAGTGTGATGTAGATTACAGTGTTGTCATATATGCCTACAATTCCAATGAGCGAGTGCTGACTGACTGTGTAGGATACTGCATAATACTCAGTTCCTTGAATATCTGTGGGTAAGGCAAGGAAGGCGTCTGTACTATGGGGCATGATGTTCAATCCATATACGACAAGTTCGTGTTCAGCGGTCACCAGGATTCCTTTCGTCTCTTTCTGGGTGCCTACAAGGACGTGCAATGATCTCGTTAATATTTTAATCAAACTGTTTTTATCTATGCTGGCATACTGTATTATTGTTGATGGGTCGTTTGTTCCAACACGTCTGATACAGTCATGCATGATATAACACTTTCGGCCCAAATGTGGTGCATTTTCCCGTGCGTAATACAAATTATTAAAAAACTCATTAATAATTCATGAAGAAAACACAAAAGAAATCATGGGCGTGAAGGAGTCTGTATAATACAGACCAGTATATGTGATACAGATTCATGTTGATTTACATAAACTTTAACTTTGATTTTCTCGGCTTAGACAACGTTTATTTAGAATATTCAATCTTCAAACTTTGTTCCAAAGACGCGAAGAAATGTGTAACAAACTTTTTACAAATATTACTAACAATCCGACACACAAACTGCATAATTTACTGCCTCCCAAACATGAGTCGGTTTACCAACTTAGGAACAATAGACTGTTTGAACGATTCGAAACTAATACAGAAAGATTTAAAAAAACTTTTATTCCTATGTCTAGTAACTTAAGTTAATGTAATTTTTAGTACCAAGCGTTTTAATGACCATTTGTAATTAACCCATATTCTATCTTTTAAATAATGTTTTATATACTTTTGTAAATCACGCAATTCAGCTGTCCAGCTGCAAGGTGAATTTTAAATACACTATCTATCTATCTATCTATTTTTAAAATTACTTCGCCAATGAACTCATAAGATGAGTCGTTTTTTAAGCCATTTACAACATTTGCGTCCGTGTTGTATCGAATATACAAACTCGAGCCGAAGTTTGTATATCCGATACAACACGGACCGCAAACACGGCCGCTCATGTTGTAAATAGTACATACAAAATTTGTAAATTTCGCGGGGCTATATTTTCCTCATTTTACACCATTTCGCAACCAAATTTTGCAACTTTACTAATTTTAACATGCTCTTTCTAGCTGTGATGGATTTTGTTCTTCTTGCCTAGATCAAAATGTAGTCTATAGCTGCAACCATCCATTCAAGTCATTGAATTCGAACACATGTAAAATGTGATGAAACGGGCCTTACCTGACATGCGTACATTGATCGGCAGATCAACTCTGACAAGTTCATCGGACTGTAGTTCGACTTCCTGTCTGAAACGTGGCTGCACGCCAGGAATAGATATAGTGGCTACGGTGTTGTTATCTGATGTGATGAACAGACTCACTGAGCCAGCTTTCTTGTGTAGGTATTGCTGCATGAACGCAAGCATGAACTCTCGACCACGATTATCCGGAATACCTAGAAAGGAATGGTGGAATATCTTGGGTATATTTCATCAAGCCTTGTGACGTCATTATGCATAAGGTCTATTTATAGATCAGCCAAAAACGTAACTATTATATAAAAGATTGTTCAACTTCAAAACTTTGCTCAAGAATAATTGGGTGCCAGATTAGTGTTGCGAGGATGTTATGTAGCCTAAAATATATATTTGTCTGTTTTTAGTACGCAAAACAATGTCAGGTGACTTGCACTTTAAAAGTTTCAATTTAGCTCAGCTGGCGTTAGGCCACGGGAACGTCACTTAAAAAACACGATATTCCTGAACTCCGGTCTGAATGTCGCAGGCTAATTGAAATTCCCAATTTCATTAAGTTGCCGAATTTTATAACGTTTGAGGGAATTGAGTCAGTGGTAAACAAAAAGTCAGTTCCCTCAAAAATTTCTTACAAATCCTTCATAACTTAGAATTTACCCACGCAAAGTTCCTACTGTGATCACAGAGATTTGACAGTGTAAACCAGGCTTTACTTTAATAGGACGCATAATGACTCGAACATTGACAGTGTTATTTTTTAGTCTAATTTGAAAGATCATTGAAAACTGCATAGGAACTTCTTTGATAGATTTTGTTCTTGCTTCGTTTTGGAGATATTTTATTTTGTATGATATGCAAAGGACCAACTTCCTACGTCACATATGCATAATGATTTAGCCCTAAAAGTTGTGTATTTTTAAAACGACTAAACACAATCAGTAGAAAACCTACATGGGTGTTGTTGTGGACAAATCTCGTGCTCATCATTCATTTTGAGCGAATTTATTTGATAGTGACAAATAGTGATTAAAGATCACTGTATGTCCCCAGTTTTATCAGCAAAGGTTCTTGGTCTGTACTTTTCTTCTGATCTTAGTTGGAACTTACATGTTGAACACATAGTATACAAGGCATCAAAGAGACTTTTTTTTCTCCGAGTGCTTAAACGCAGCGGTCTTGGAGGGAGTTCTCTAATTCAAGTCTATACCACATGTATACGACCTGTGCTTGAATATGCATGCCAGGTTTGGAACTTAAACTCCCCTGACTATTTAAAGGAAGAAATCGAAAGAATTCAGAAGCGAGCCCTACGAATAATATGTCCTGACCTGTCATACCGCAAAGCCTTGGAAGTTCATGAATTATCGTTGCTCTCTCAAAGACGAAATAATTTATGTAAATCCTATTTTAAGAAACTTCTCAACCCGGAAAATAAATTGAATGAACTTATCCCTAATAAACGCGAGGACTTACGTACTTACAATCTACGTAACGATCAGCATATTAACTTAATTAATTGTAAGACTACAAGATTTAGTAAAAGTTTTATTCCTTCTAGTATCGTATCATATAATGATTCATTTTAATTGTAATATAAATTTTAGTTTTAATATACCGTATATTACTATATGTATTAGTTTTACCATGTATTTTAAATGTCAACTCTGTACAATTCAGCTCTTAGCTGCCATTCAGATTTTGTAATAAATTCAATTCAATTCAATTCAAATATAACATTCATAGAGTAAATCATTATGCATATGTGACGTAGAAAGTTGGTCCTCCTTTGCATATCATACAAAATGAAATATCTCCAAAACGAAGCAGGAAAACAAAAATCTGTCAAAGAAGTTACTCTACAGTTTTCAACGATCTTTCAAATTAGACTAAAAAATAACACCGTCAATTTTCGAGTCATACGCCCTTTAAACATACTTACCAACAACAAAAGTGTGATCAATTAGATTATTCGTGTTCCCTTGGGGATCCTTGACTCTGACAACAATCTGGTGGTCACCTGGTTTCAAATCTTTCCCTTGAAACTTTCCTGAAGTGCCGTTGCCACACCATGTGAATTTATCAAGGTCATCCAGCGCGCATTCGAACACGGCCTCTTCATTCACTGTCCACGTGATAACAGGATTCCGGTTCGTGAGACGGGGTAACGGACCAACATCGACTAGAACTGGAGCCACCAAGTCTAGCGAAAGAGAAAATGTTTGGTGAAGTGGATATGGACTATCGCACACAGATCGACTCATGGCCAGAAGTCACGGATACGATTTCAACATTAAACAGTGAATTATATAACGCGACGTTGTTAATCGCAAAATCTGAGAATAAAGTAGGTCGTTTGCAACTCGCTGCAAAACAAAGTCTGTCGTAGTGTTTAGTGTAATCATGGATAATAAAATAAATAGATTGGAAACTTCTGACGTCATTGACTGCATCCTTGTTGAAAAACGTGACGTCACGCGTATTGCGAATATTACCAAAGTTCTCGGCATATTTGTTGTTTTGCTATATTTTCCACTTTAAAAGGGTGATCTTGAAGCGTAAACTGGTCTAATTGTTTTAAAAACATGCCTAAGCCACGACAAAGTATTCAAGGTAAATGTTTTTCGTCTTTGTTTTGTATTTTTTACATTTGTAGCTACGAAATTGGCGTCACAAATTTTAACGAAATTTGCGATGTATTTTTCACTGTTTAGTGCTTGAAATATTTGCTAAAATTGACTGGGAATACTTAGAGTTTTCATCGTAGAATGGCGTGGTTACATTTATTTGCTCTTTGACTAAAATGTTTAGCTGTATTATTGCTAAACATGCCGTTTTTGAGAATTTGATTTTCAACTAGGTTGAGGCATCCAACCACGCCATCAATCCCAGTAAAAACATTAGGTCACGTCAGCTAGTTTCCTATCCATTTATTTTATTATCCATGGTGTAATGTGGGCCTGATTTCAGGCCTCGGACATTATTGTCCGACCCATCCGTGAAATTGTCCGACGTAAAGAGGAAACCACTGGACATTCTGTCCGACCTAAGTGAAAATGAGTTGTTGTCCGACCTAACTGTAACTTTGTCCAACATAAATGTACTCTAGCCCAGGACTAGAGGCTCGTATGTTAATCGGTAGCGAAGTGGTTAGCGCACTTGCCTTTCACCTCTAAGGTCGCAGGTTCAAATCTCAGTGAGAACTTTCTCAATGCGACTCGAACCCAGTCCTCATGTGAAAGAAGAAAGGGGAAAGTTGACAGGGTGGGTTAGGTAAAAGGGCCCACAGTAATTGGCATATGCTGTTGTGGTGACCCTGCCCTAGTTGGCAAAGCTAAATAAATAAATAGAATCAGAGTAATGTTACGGTAAATTAGTTTCAAATTAACCTACCTACGATCCATCTGGTTGAAATGGTATCTCCGACATTACCATAAGCATCAGTGCCTTTGACGTACAGTACATGTTCGCCATTTCTTCTCAAGTTACTAGATTTTAACTGCGCTTGGAAACCTTCTCCACACTTGAAGAAATTAGAGTTACCGTCTAAGGCGCATTGAAACGTGGCGTATTCGTTGCTTCGCCACGAGAAGCGTACGCTGCGACCACTCTTTTTCGGGACTGGCTGATTGAAGAAAAGCGAAGGGCCTCTGGTGTCTGGAAGAAAGAAGAGAAAATGTTAGGAATATGATAATAATAAAAATTATAATAGTAATAATAATGTATCAGTAAAATTATACTAAAAAGAAGAGATTTTAGATGGTATGTCAAAGAGAAAATAATGTCTGAAGTTCAGTAAGTTTTGCTTATATTGCCGAATAAATCTGCCGTCAATTTTACAGCATCAATGATAACTGTATTTAAATTGACAATATTTAATTATTATTTTGTGTTTCTCAACCGCCCGATACATTTAAAAAGGTTGCAAACTGTGTAAACTACAAAATAAAGCTAAAACAAAGTAATTTTGAGAGGAACGCCAAAAAGATTTCAGGTTTTGAACACTTTTCATCGCAAATACGCGATATTGAAAAAAATTGCTTCTTAAAGAACTACGCTATGACTTACCATAGTCTTTCGAGACATGGTCTGGACGCTCAGGCCGCATTTACACTATGACGCTACGGCTAACACTCCGTTAAAAATTTACTACGTTTCTATAGTATTGAGACTATATTGTGCATGTTTACACTATAACGGAGCGGTTTGCCGTAGCGCACTAACTACGGAATTATATTGTGTTTACACTATAACGGAGTGGTTTGCCGTAGCGTACAAACTACGGAAATCAATTCCGTTAAAAATTCACTACGTTTCTTAGTATTGTGTTTACACTACAACGGAGTAGTTTGCCGTAGCGTATATTAACTACGGACCACTACGTTTGGCACCCCGGGGATGCAAATCACTACGCTACGGTAAATTTACCATAGCGTCATAGTGTAAACGCGGCCTCAGTAAACCTCAAGGCAGCTATAATGGGCTGGGATTCTATGTTGAGCCGTACCAGTTACACCGTGCACATCCTTTGGCTTTGTTTTAGGTTTATTAATATTTAAATAGCATGGTTGAATGACTGAACTGAAACGTTGCTATAGGATGATTCGTTCATTATACTGAAATACATTGTGTTCATTGACCGTGCACAAAAGTGCATAAACGCGAACAAAGAGATAGAACAAAGACTTTAGCGGAGTTTCCAAACCATGTTTTGAAAGACTATATGGACATACCTACTACCCACTCATGGTGCAATGGCTTGCCACGATTGCCAACGTCGTCAACCCCAAGAACCCAGGAACGATGTTTTCCTTCGGGTAAATTCGCCTCAATCCACCTTCCTTTCAGGCTGAAATTGCCGCATCTTTCCATATAATTAATTCTCTCGTGTGCGCAGAAGAATTCTGCGATCTCGTTTGATTGCCATCTAAATCTTACACGCTTGCCTGTGACGGCTGGGAGTTTCCTTCTCCACGACAAAACTGGTGGTGTGTTGTCTGAAATGTGAGAACAAAAAAGATAAATAGAACGTTTAGTGCAGGGGCGGACTTACCGTGAGGATGCAGGGGGGAGGGGGGGGGGGGGCCCC